CTCTCATTGACAGTTTCCACTACGATGTCTGCAAGACGTCTGGGAATGTACCGAGTCAATTGTCCTACACCGGGACTCACAAATACTTTAGCAAAGGCCGCAGGACTAGGTACGTTCCACGAGGTAAAACCAGCACTACACAGCTGAATAACACCGCGTCCAAACAGAAAAGACCACACCATTCATGTCTTCATATCTGCTATCTTATTCTTCGATTATTTGCAAATCTATGGATCAGCGTTATCTTAACTCCTTAATTCTTTACAGCATTTTATTTTCTTACTGTATTTGTCATCACATGAAATATCCTATATAGCGTCTATTTTTATTAAGGACTTCCCTAGTCGCAAAATTAAAGCTGACGCTGATTATAGCCTTCAGTCATCTGTACACTCCTTACGATTGCACAACGAATCTGAATTTGCAAGTGGCGGCCGCATCAGTACTTTGGCACCACTTATTTCTCTTGCAAAAAGCCAACCTGGTGCAACCACAAATGTTTATGGCGATACTAAAGATCAATCCGATATTGAAAGAAACCATGCAGGAATAGCTGGTCACCTGTATAATCGCCATTTCGAATTTCGAATTTCCAATTCTGCCTCTTTTGGTTTGGCTGGTCCGCCTGGGGCTCTTCCCTTATTTGTCGCCGCAGGAACAGCGGCTGCAAGCATTGGCATTCCTGTCAGTGGTCGGTCTAATGCAGTCGGAGCTGCCGGCCGGACCCAAGGAATATTAAATTTACTTCTTGGTGAGGCAAAGTCTGATGCCTTAACGGAGGCTCGCTTCGATTTAAATGGTGGGAAATATCTTCCTGGTGCAGCTGATTTTGACAGCCCAGGTAATATTTTATGGCTGATAGGGAAAATTTTTCTGTAATCAGATCCCTGGCTGTTTATTTTTCAGAAAAATAATATTCATATTCGAAAAAAAACGTTGATAAAACTTTACTGGTTGAACTTAACGGCATTAGTAGTTGCTTGGTCTTGTTTTCGCAACTTGGTCATACTGATAGGAAGACTTAGGGAAACCCACCTAGTCCGTAGTCCATAGCATGCATGCTAATCTCCA